AATCATAGAGCCACGAAAATTTAGTGGTTAGACTTTAAAAACTTCATAATTGGAGAATGATGTAATCAATGATGTAAGATGCCAATAATTTTTTCTCAATTAGATGTATAAATATAGGCTTTTGGGCTAAAAGAAAGACAGAACGAATTTGAGCACTCAGTTTGTGAGAAAGCCAAAAACCTTCTGTCAATCCTGTATCAAATTCAAAGGATATCAATATTACCAATTTTAAATAGATCATTCACATTTCAATCCTCTCAAATAGATATGAGTTTCTAAATCTTAGTTCCCATAGATTCTTGAAAAATCTGATAGAGAATTTCTTTCTTATTTTAGCAATAAATGAAGTTTTTTCTTTAACAGAAGTCTGGAAATTTGATTCTTAGAAACAATACAGTGAGAGTAAGAAGCAGGAGTAGTAAGGATCCCGTGAAGGCAGGAAACCGTTGAAGGGAGTGGTTTGCACATCCAGAGCTCGAATGTCACTTAATTCTGAGGTTAGAAATCCAGACCAAAACTAAAGTAAAACTACTTATCTTCTGTTAAATTTAGAAAGAACTCTCTTAAGATTTTAAAGAATTGTAGGAATTATTTCATAGTTTGATATTCAAAGATGACATGATATACAATTGAAGGATTAGATAAAATTTTAGAAGAAATGATTAAGAAAATAAATGATAATAATTTATTACTAGAAAATATGAATATATTATCTGAAAAATACGATAATCTTAGAAAAATTTAAAAGGCTTAGTCAACCAGGCCAAATTGAAAAATCCCCCGAAAAAGAGAGATCTGAATTTTGACAAGGTGGCACGTTGCAATGGGTCGGACTTTCGGGTCGGACCTTTTATGGTTATAGCTTTCCATATTTGGATAAATTGCAGTTGCGGTCCTCAATCTTTATAATTTTAAACTTATTTTTTTTTTGACAAAGTATTATATTTTTTCATACGTCTGATAGTTTCAACGACATTTTTATGTCCAAAATGATCGTTAAGTTTTAGAATGTAAAGATGAATTTATCCTTGAGCTACATATGAATTTATAACAACAAAAAAAAAAAAAACCAAAAAAAAAAAAAACATTTCGGTGTTGCATTCAAATTATATCATTCGAGCATTTGGGTCACAAATAGTTAAAAAATAAAATTTGATAATCAAATCTTCAAACTTCCATTTTTGATGCAAGGTGGTCAAATTAGATAATAAGTCGACCTTCAGATAAATCGTCATATGCCGTGCACATGAACACTTCCCGTTCCCGATACGATTATTTTTGTCAAGTTTTGATATTTACTGAACTATGGTTTGAAAAGTGCAAATGTAAGAAAAAAGGAATAAAAGGTTAAGGGTTCGTTTGCGATAGCTTTTACTTCTACATTTGAGTAGTATAAGAAGATAAGCATAAGCTAAAAGTATTTGGCCTCTAATTTTCAAAAGAGCTTTCTCTTCAAGAAGAGTTTTTGTTTATGTTTGGTATGATCATGTCAAAAGCTATTATGGTATGACAATTACAAGTTTACCCTTAATCATAATATTGTATTTGTTTTATTATCATATTAAAATTATATTGGTAATACATATATAAAAATTTTGCGCCCGTCCGACCTTATTTTTGGCTAATAATACATTTTAAAATAGTAGATTGATAAAGAATATGTGACAAAAAAAGTAAGGAAAAGTTTTGAACTTGCGTGTAATATTATTTTATTGAATAATGCGTGGTTGAAAAAAGGGGAGAAAAATGTATTTTGAAAATAATGGAGGTCAAACAAGGGCTTTATGGTCATGTTAAATAAAATAATAACATTTTTTTTGTCTCTTTGTGAACGAAATAACTTGATATCAACAAAACAATGCTAATGTTTGGTAGGGAGTAAAATTATATTTTTAGTAGATTTTGATTAAAAAAAAATTGAAATATATAGTTAAAAAGTCTTGGGATCCATAAAATATAAAATATGTGATTAATATTAATTCTTTAACTTTAATTTAGATTAAAATGTGATTTAAATCAATACCAAACAGAAGCTAAAAATAAAACATGGATAATAATCTAAACCCCTGTTTGTTTCCAATTATTTCAACAAGAAAATACTTTTTTTGACCCTTTTTTCACAGTTGTGGATAAATGAAAATTTAAGTGCAGCAATTTTAGATTAGAAATCATAAGAAAATAATATTCATGTAAGCACGAGCTCAATTCAAAAACATAAACTTCATAACAAGTCTCAAAACATTAAGTCTCACATAGATTATAAATAACAAAATCTCACTATTTTAACAAAAGAAATATGCTTAAAATCTATTTATCGCCCCTAAGATAAATGTTTCATATTCGAGGTTTTTGATCCTTCAACCATTCAATTTGATACTTGGGTTCCTTTAAAGCTACAAAAACCTCTCTATTTGTGATCTTTGTGAACAATCCCAAGCCAAGCTTGAAAAGAGAAGTCATTGGTTCACAAGCTGCATATTTTTATTTTTTGTGTTATTTGTTGTAATTTGAACATGAATGGATGCATCTAGGTGAGATTGAGGGACCTGTGGAGTGTAATTAACATGGGCATCCATGGATTGGGTCGAAATTGGAAGAAATCCGTGCTTAAAGGCTTTCTTGGCCGACCAGTTTTGGTGTGTGTTCATCTGATTTTGGTTCAAATTTTCGATCAAATTTGTCNAATTTGCCTTCAAAGGTGGTGGCTTAAGAGGTGATGATTTTTTCGTGTTTGTGATTGATTTGCACATTTTTAAAAGTTTGGACCCATAATTGCAATTTATTCTGTATTTTTCTTCTCTTTTGTTTTTGTTTTATTTTAATAGAAGGGTAAAATTGTCAAAAATAGACGAAAATGATGTTTTGCGCTAGAATGTTAAAGGTAAGGAAGTTCTGCGCAAAAAAATGAAACGTATGAATGTTTTCCACAAAAACCGTCAAACGTAGGGACGTTTTGCGCCAATTACCCTAAAAACAATATATCCAACGTTCGAATTTTTTTTAAAATTGAAGAGCCTGTTGCAGCGGACGGCAAATAATAATTCTCTTCATTATTTGAACAATTCCAATCACACATGCATCAAAATAATAATATCGCTATGAAAGTTTGGTAAGCCTATGTTTGACTAATATTTATAAACAGTTTATAAATATTTAATTTAATTTTTATTTTTACACTTTTCGAGGAATGTACAAGTATTATTCAACTATCCACCACTCATTTCTATCTCTTCATAAATAAAATCATACATAAATGCTTTTCAAATATGTCAAGTAAAAAAGTAACTTATTTTAACTGTAAAATAAAATATACTTAGCTCTTATTTGGTATAAATTAAAATTTAGATTTAGCCCTTGTTTGTGTCCCATTATTTGGCAAAGAATGCATTTTTTAAAAAGTAGATTGATGGATAATGTGAGGTTAAAAAATAAGGAAAAAATTTGAATTTGCGTGTAATATTATTTTATTGAAGAATGTGTAGTTGAAAAGAAAAGAGAGAAAATATATTTTGAAAATAATGAGAATCAAATAATGGCTTAAATCTAAGTCAAAGACCACAATTAATTTTAACTATATATTTTATGGCACTCACAACTTTTCGACAACACATTTAGCCCTTGTTTGATCTGAATTAAAATATAATTAAAATTTCAAATCAAAATCAACAATTAATTTTAACCGCACATTTTATTGGACCCACAACTTTTCAATCACACATTTTATCAACGTTTATCAAATCTACTAGAAATCTGATTTTAATCTCTATTAAACAGGGGTTTAATTAATTCTTATAAAAAATTACTAAAAATTTAATTTTTATTCCCACGGAATATGAACTTAGGTTGTGTTTGATAAGCAACTTTTTCCATGGAACTAGGAATTCAAATTCCATCTTCCACCAATTTGCTTGTTTGATGGCAACAATTTTCTTGGGAATTAGTTTTCCACATGGGCTTCACACGGTTACATTTTCAAGGATTTGCTTGAATTCATTTTTCCTTTTGGTGGGAAAATGGAATTCCATTTTTTTTTTTTTTTTTGGGAAACAAAATTCATAACCAATTATAAGAAAAAAATTCACTTTAATGGACAATTTTCATGTAAAAGAAAGCCGAACGAACGCTAAATTTTGATTAAAAAATGATTTTAAGGAACATTTTTTTTTTGTTTTTTCCTTACTTTTTGGCAATGGAAACAAATTTTATAATCAATTGTGGAAAAAATTATCACTTTAATGGACAATTTTCATATAATATAAAGTCAAACGAATACAAAATTTAAAAATTTTCTAGGTGGAAAATTATAACAATCAAACACACTTAATTAACAATTCCTTACAAAACATTTTTTAGACAATTATTTTTCTGAAATTCATTTTCTTTTCACCTATTTTTCATATTGCAATCAAACGGTACTTAAACCTTTTTTTTATGGCAAAAGAGAAAAGACAATCAGTGGAAGTAAGAATTTTAAGATCTACTAATTTGAAAATTGAAATGTAGGGTTTAGCATCGTCCCCACTTATTAATAACTGAAGGTAGGGTTTAGCATCGTCCCTACCTACTTATTAACTAATAAATAAATTTATGATTAAGCTTTTTAAGCCCACAGTGTGGGCCAAGAAAATGCAGTTTTATGCAGATAATTTGTGAGGGTGGGGTTTATCAATTCATGGAGGTTGTGTCACATCACACTATCAGCATCACAAACCCCACCCACCCTCTATTCCTCTATTGCAAAAACACAGAGACAATATTATTGTACCCAAACTCCAACAAGATAAAAAGGAGCACAGCATCTCTTCCTTCTCTTTCTAACTCATAAAGGAAAAGTACAATTTAGGTTTTGGGGGAAGTTGAAAAGAATGGAAGTTACTTCCAAGTTCTTAACTTTGACCTAATCTATTGTAGAGAAATTGCTTTCTGTATAAAGCTGATTTCATTTTCTTGATATAATTGGGCACACGCACAGTGTGGAGTTTTTGAAGAGGTGAAGGAAGATGCCAAGGCCAGGTCCCAGACCATATGAGTGTGTGAGAAGAGCTTGGCACAGTCATAGGCACCAACCCATGAGAGGTTTAGTTATTAGACAGATTTTCAGGTACTGGGTTTTGTATTTCTTGAATTTATTTTCTTGTTTTTTAGGTGAAATTCGTTAAATGTTCACTGTATTTGACTAGGCTTGTACATGAGAATCACTGCGCTGCAACTAAGAAGAATAAAGAATGGCAAGAGAAGCTTCCTGTTGTGGTGTTGAAAGCCGAGGAAATCATGTACTCCAAAGCCAATTCTGAGGTTTTTTTAATTTCTATCTTCATTTTGATGTGGGTTGTGTTTAGTTTCTTAAGATTGTATGCTCAATGTGTTGGTGTTATGATTTATATCTGTTTCTGTTTTGCTATTCTTCATTGGTTAGGCTGAGTACACGGATCTTGAGACGCTATGGGAACGGGTTAATGATGCAATTGATACCATTATACGGAAAGATGAGAGTACAGAAACAGGAGAGCTCCTGCCTCCTTGTATTGAAGGTGTCCACATTGCCTATAGTTCTTCCACTGCAACTCTGTTGACTTCAAATAATTGAAATTTTGTTTGGTTTGATGCTTTTTTCCATTCTCAGTTTTGTTACTTAAAATGAATGTTCTGTTGCATTAGTTTGAGATGATATTGTAACATGCATTAATATGTGTTCAGCTGCACTTAATTTGGGATGCGTGGCAATAAGAGCATCCAGAAGCCAAATGCATAACAATCCAAGAACTTACCTCAGACCAGCAGTTCAAGAATCTTGTGGTGTATCTCCTACAGTTTTAGATGCGAATACCAATGAACGCACATGTAATGTATGGCCTTTGCATTCTGCCAATATCTCAGCATTGAATAAATTCCCGACTGCAGAATCACCGGGTTTAGTTTTGGAGTCTAGTGGGTGTGTAACACCAAATACCAACAACCACATTGCTCCTTCTTGTGAGAAACTTGCGTCCCCTGCCAATAACCAGATCCTGCAAGTTAACTCTAACAAACAGTTGAATGTTGGCTCAGTGTATCCCTTGTACTATGGTAACGTGTTTCAAGCTGAAGTCTCAAGGTCGGTCCACCAAGAATCTCAAAAATCCAATCCTGTAATTGTTGGTGTGCCAATATACTCATCAGTTGCCGAGCCTGCTGAAGTAGGGCGCATGCAGAATCTATTTTCCTGTGATACAGACAAATATGTTACAAATGGAAGCTCCCAAGCAAATTCTAGGGACAACAACTGGATGGATCCTCAAATGGGGTGCGACTTGTCCTTGAGATTGGGTTTGTTTTCTGAGTCAAGCTTGAGCACGGGAAAGAATTCTGAGTATGGAACTAATATTGGTCGGAGAGTTTCTCAAGATGGAGGCAAGCCTAGAGACAAGGAGTTTCCTTTCTTTCCTTTGGAGTCTGGTAACTATTTCTCCAGGTTGCATACAAGTAGATGGAATTCAGAGGGGGAAGGCCAAAATGTGGAAGATTTTAGAAAGCGTAAAATTTCGTCTATTGCTGATATGGACAATGAGCAATTTTTCTTGTCTCATGACCCAAATTCTAACTGTTTTGCTGGTCAAATGAAAAGACCAGGTATGTAGACAAGCTTCTTTGTTTTATGTATAATATTTCATCTTGAAAGAAAGGGAGAAAATTTTATGATGCCTCTCTATATGTCTTGGAGCCTTTCCATTTTTGTTTTTCGCGTCTGTTTATTTGTAAGCATTTTATGTTGTTGGTTAACTGAACTTGCAGATTACCAAAAGTCCTTAAATAACTAAATTTTACTAGGTTTCTGAAGATGGGAATATAACAAAAGAACTGAAGTTGCAAGATGCTATGATTAAAATTGTGTTTATTAAAAGATTTTGTCCTCTGTTCTGTTCTTTTTAAGCAAATTAGAATGGTAATAACTGATAGTGCAAATGGGAGAACAACATTTTTCCCACAAGGAATGTTCGAAATCTTACATACCAACTGAAAAAACATGATGTCGGATATTCTTACTGTTGAATCCTTGTTGCTGGAATTACTTGAGTAAATAACATGCCAAACTTATAACAAGAATGTGAGTCCAAGACTTGTTTGGTGCACATTAATGCAATGAGCAAATATAAGTGCACAGGCACATCCATTCACTTGTTTCTAGATTGTCGGTCGTCTTAAAATTAACTGTTACGGAATTCAGGTAAACATTAAAAGAAAAAGCAGAATAAAGTTTGGATATTTACATTTATATGTTTCCTTTGCATAATGTGATTGATTAAATATCTTTTATAGATATGCATCAAACTCATTTCTGGTGGTATTATTTCCATGTGATACTTATCATACCCTTTTTTCCCTTTCTCTGCATGTTCAACTGGTGTTTGTGCGGCCAAAATAGCTCATGAAATGTTCTGACTTTGTCAAGATCATCCGATATCTTATTTTTATTGACCATATCGTTTGCTTTTCAAGATAATCTGCAACTTTTACCTCGATAACTGGATAAGATTATCATTAGATTAACACTCCCAAGCAGCTGTAGTCGTGAGACATTTTAATGAGCGTCCATGATGGCATACAACACTGACTAGTGCATACCATGCTGAGAAAGCAATTTACTGCTGGAATGGAAATTAAAACTTGTCACTCTTCCTGATGTAGATATTTATTGCTGAGATGATAGTTTTAATGTTCGTCTGACCATTGAAGGAGCCTATTCTGGGTCATATTGCATACTTCGGAAATATTTTGTTTTTCTTTTCATAATAAGCCCCCGTTTGGTGCACATTTTGAAGTCAAGAATGCATTTTTACTGTTGATGTGATGGAGGATATGAAAAAGAAGGAAAAATTATTGATGTGATGAAAAATATTATTTTATTAAATAGCGTGTGGTTGAAAATGAGTAGAAAAATGAGAATGAAAAAAATAATGTGGACCAAACAGGGCCTAAATGGCCTCTAAACTCTGGATTTTAATATTTTCCGTTAGTCATCATTTTTAAATAATTCATGTAGTTTCATGTCTAAAAACCTACATATACCATATTGCAATATTGATAGAGAAACTGTTGTTTTCTATTTGTTTATTCATTCATTTTATTCTATTAGCGGCGTCGGGGTGGATTGAGGGGTTAGAATCCATGGACTTGATTTTTCCGAGCGTTCATATCACCCAGATCTTGCAATCTTATACCTAATATTTAACGTTAACTGACAAAGATCAGAGAAACTTGTACTGTTTTAACTAGGGAGCAGGCTATCAATATCTTCTGAATAGAAGCAGTTTCATTTTACCATTAGTCATTACGCATGCCCCTATAAACCAGTTGCCTTGTTTTATGTACTTCCTTATCTTCTTGATTCATTTTTGTTGGTTAATGACATTGTTTCTTTAGGTAATCTGGTGTTTATTTGAGCCTTGATGTAGAAATGTTCTCCCTCTGCTCAAGGGTTATACAGTTCATGTTTACGGTGAACGTCATAGGGATTTTTCTCCTCTCATTCACAATGCTTGTATATTACCATCTTTTTATGCGACTAACATATAAATATACAACAGAAACCCCAGCTTCTAGGAAATCAGAGGACGATAAATCTACTAACTTCGGCGTCCCAATTTGCGAAAAGGTCCTGCATTATAAAGGTATCTACCCAATCTTGCAAGAATTTCCATTTTCTGTTTTTTAGATCTATTTTGATGTTGTTTATGTGCACGTGCTTGAGCTCAAAAAATATTCTGAATTTATTCGAAACAGTGAAATACAATGGGATTGACAGAAAATTTATTTTTGCATGGAAAAACCAATCTACATAAGACTCAGCAAGGAGAAGAGAAGGGCCGGGAGAATCGCCATTAAGGCTCCGGTTTTAATAGTTGGAGCTGATGCTCCGGTGCTTATAGTAACCTTCTGTCCCATGCTGCAGTGGTTGCCTACAGTGCAAATAAAGTACGATTCGGTGGAATTGACAATGAAGGTTGAGGGGCTGGTTGTTTGGACTGGACTAATAGCATTTGTTGAAGTGCAGTCATCATAGTTTTCTTTGGTCACTTGGACCACGTTATGTGTGCCATTCCAGTTGAATACTGCAGAAAATTAGTGAGAAAAAATTAGCATGAAATGTCATTTAGAAAAATATATGCCTTCAAACCAGTAGTTGTAACAAATTAGCAGAAAATGAAGGGGATTAACAGGGTAGCTAGAGGGCTTGAAACAACTTTGTATTTGGTTCAAGATTTTCACCATTTTGTATGCTATTTATTTCCGAGTTAAAAATTCTAGTAATCATTCAACTTTTAGCAAAATTTCGTGTTGATAATTGACTCCATATCCATCATTTTAACTAGGGGTCAATTTTACTGACGTTCATCGAACTTTGCACTTAGTGTCACGTTGGTTACTGAATTTTAATTGGGATTCAAACTCATCTTCGTTTTAGTTAAATTAATGGATATAACTGAATGATAATTGTAAGAAACTTTATTGCATGTTTGGCAAGTTTACAAGTTGGTCAAATTTTATCTTTATCTACACATTCCGTAATTCGTAATTTTTACTTTTTGTATGGTTGTTATTCACATGTAACATAAACCCACAACTTATAATCACTTAATTTTTTTTTTTCAAACATTTCAATGACTCTGTCTAATATAAAACAAAATATAATTTGGTGATTTGTTCATCATCTTATCATGTTTATTCTCGTATCGTTACAAAGTGAGAAACACTTACTTATAGTGTCTCCGTTCTCAAAATCTTCCCTAGCTGCCCAAGTTCTGTAAGCAATATCTCCTAGTGGAGGAATAGTCCATCCCAGCTCGCCTCCGACAGTGTATGTACTGGCGGTCGCAACCACGATAAGGGTGGCTGCAGCTATAAACCACCCAACCAGTTCAAATTTGTTTGCCATTTTCTACTTATTTTTGTGTCTTCTTTCCTTCTTTCTGCATGTTAAAAACCTTTTTTTGCTAAGTAATATAAATAGGAGATTACAAAGTATGAAAATAACTCGTTCCCATTTGCATGGCATGAAAATATTCCACGAGTGTGTTCATATTTTTCAAATATGGCGTCCGGACCCCAAATTCTTTGAAATTCTAGATTGTTTTACCCATATTGGTTATCTTTAGTCCAATGTCAAATCTTAGAAACGCGATTATGGGCTACAAAATTTCTCCAAAAAATGATGCAAATGAGAACGCATAGAAAGGGGCCGGGTCGGGTAGGTGGGTGGGGTCCACTAATAGAAAGTAGATGATTATGAATATCAATAGCTTGTATGTTTAGTTATAAACAATACATTTACTTTTACACTTTAGTTGAATGCAAACGTACGAGGGTCCCATGCTATTTTAACGTTACATTGACCGGTTTTCTTCTGCACTTGTTGGCAATTATTTTAAAGGGTCGAGAACTCTATAAATTGCTTATAGCCCATTTGGTAGGGCTTCTACTTTTGCTTTTGCTTCTTATATAAGAATATTCTCAGACTAGTTTTCTCTAAAAAAAAATTCTATTAACAAGATAAAGCAATTCTTAAAAATTTATTCAAGCATGTTCAAAAGCAAATTCTTAATTTCAAAAACAGTTTCGATATTTTCCAACTTGCAAATTTTAATCAAAAGATTGAAAACGAAAGTGCAACTTTCATAATGTGAATTGCTAGGCACTTGTCATGAAGTCTTGGAAGAGCCTTCTCACCAACTATTTGAAAGAGGAAAAAGGTTACGTCTTTAAACTGTTTTTGACGCGTTTAAGAAAAGACTGAAAAGTGTGTCATTTGGTTACACACACTAGTCTACAAAAGACACTATTTTGCATATTTTTTTTACATAAAATTAAACTAACTTGAGGTTAGAATTCAACTTTGGCTGCAATATTTTATGTTAAAGGGAATAAAGCCACAAAGACCTTCAAGAATCGAGACTTTTTCTCCTTTTTGTTTTTCAATTTTTCGAGTCTTATTTTTTATTATTATTATTTATGGAAGATATTATGTGAGAAGGATTCAAACATGTACATCTTATTTTTAATAAATTTACCACTTTGTTTGTTGATGTTGAAAGATTTAGTATGATATCACCGACAGCTACGAAAAGCTATATACACACACGGAATTGATCTCTTAAGCACCGATACTTTGTTTATACTAAACACCAGGTGATGTGTCACATTACAATAGATGGTATAATCAATTTTGTAACAAACTATTATCTCTCACCACATATCGTAGTGTATGATGTCATCCATGCTAAGCACTGATGCGTGCTTAAGAGATCAATCGTGTATATTAATTTTCATCTAAAGAATTGGTGCAAAGAATTGGTCTATTTTTCAAAATAAGAAACACATTTTGTCAGTTTGTTTTTAGTTGAGTTAATGACTAGACGAGCCACAACCTACGACAATGAGAAAAGACACTGTGTCTAGAATAGGAGAATTGGTCTATCTATTTTTATGTTTTCTTTTGATTTTTACCTAAAAAATTAAAAAAAATAAAATAAAAGACTTAAAGGAAAGACTTGGGGGCCCATTCAGAGATCTTGCGATGCCATTAATTTAAGGTTGAAGATTTTTAGTTAATTTCCAATTCAAAGACATCTTCCAGAAGAGTGGGATTTTTTTTAAGTCTAAAACTTAGAATGGACATTCAGACAAGAATAAATTAAACTAATTTAAAATAGTATGATAATATATAGGTCTGTGTAATAAATTTTTTTTTTTTTTTTTAATAAAAGTTTAAGTAGATTTTTATAAAATTTGATAAAATACATGATTGAAAAGTTGATAAAATTGTGGATCTCATGAACTGTGTGGCTAAAATTGAAGTTTTTGAAAAGTTTAAAACTTGACAAAAGTTTTATCAAACAAGGTGATAATTTTCCATTGAAATCAATCCTTCAACACAAAAACAAATTATTTGAACCTTGCTATATTTACATTTTGGTGACCACTTTACTACGTGGCATTACCCAATTAGACAATTTAAATTTTAAACAGTTTTTTCATCCAATTATTTGTTGACAATAATGCAAGTATTAACCAAAGTGTATAAATTCAGTGTACAAACGGCAAAGTTCAAATTATTTTAAGAGATGAAGATTTGAAGTTTAAAGAATTGTTCCTTTTCACTTTTTTTTTTCTTCAAATGTTGCATTTTTAAGATGGAATTCAAGTCTCAACATGATATTTGAATTCATTAAATTCAAAAAAGCAATTTGATCAGACTAGGACTCGATGAACACATGAATTTTAACAAGTTTAGTGTTTTTAAACGACCCATTATCTTACAAGCACATTAAGAATAAAATTTCATATCGAATATTAAATGTAAATAACATTTAAGAGCTTAAACTGCTTTTCTTAAAAAGGTGGCTAAGCCAAAATGTCTTGATAATGACTTGAAGAAGACCGAATATGAAAAGGTAAATAACATTTAAGAGCTTAAACTGTTTTTCTTAACAAGGCGGCTAAGCAAAAATGTCTTGATAATGACTCGAAGAAGACCGAATATGAAAAGGCATATATCTCACCCAATACTTTGTAACATAGCATTTTGTTTGCTACAATAGCTCGATTAATTACTAAAAGAAGCCTAACAAAATACAACCTTTGATCATTATCACACTTATGTTTCAATTTTTTTTAATCACATTTTCGTCCTCAATCTTTCATTACTTCCTATTTCGCCGATGTGCTTAATCCACTCTAACTTATTGTTCATAAGGCCAAAACGAACTGAAATTAATTACTTGATCAAACTGAATTCAACCTACTTTTCTCTATATAATTTTGGTAGAAATACAGGAAGTAATATAAAAATAGATTTAAATTCAAATGAAACACATAAATCTCTTTATTAGTACAATAATATAAAAGTACAATACAATCAGTGTAATGTAAGAATCATATAAAAATGAATTACACAAAATTGTGTATAACTATAATTTAATACAAGAAAGCCAAGGCAATGGACAACAAAGTGAATGGCAAGGCTGCAACACGGAAAGATGGTGGTGCTGCACTAGCTGGTGGAGGAGGAGCGGTGAAAGGAGATGGTGAAGTGGGAATACTGGGATTGGTAGGATTGTCGGAGCTGGGTGGAGGAGTAGTGGTGCTAGGTGGTGGGGTGGTGGTTGAGGAAGGTGTAGGGGCCGAGCTTGAAGGAGGTGTGGCGGAGTTGGCTCTGGTGACGTTGATGGCGAGCTTTTGACCTAATGAACAATGCTGAGGGAAGGTGCAAATGTAGAAATGCTCGCCGGCTGTGGTGAGGGTGATTCTAGCTGGGCTGGTGGTGATGATGTTGGTGGCAGCCGAGCCGTTGCATGAGTCAAAACCTGCCCTCCTCACCTCAGCTACATTATGTGCTCCATTGGTGAAGTTAAAAACTGTATTACAAAAATTAAGGTGTTAGATAAAATAAGTAGCTTAAGTACGTTTGACGTACTTTTAAGTACAACATAACAAAGACGAGATGATAGTCTTACGTACCTAGAATGTCTCCAACCATGAAAGCCTTGCCTCTAGCCCACGTTTCATATGCAATTGGACCACCAGGGGGCACAAGCCAGCCAAGGCTATCTCCAACAGTATACGTCATTGGTGGTCTAGAAGGGGATGGTGCAGGGGTAGCAACCGGTGAAGGGGTGGTTGTTGGTGGTGGAGTAACAGGTGGTTGTGCTGGAGCAGAGTTGGCTCTTGTGACGTTGATGGCGAGCTTTTGACCTAATGAGCAGTGCTGAGGGAAGGTACAAATGTAGAAATGTTCGCCGGCTGTGGTGAGGGTGATTCTAGCTGGACTGGTGGTGATAGTGTTGGTGGCAGCCGAGCTGTTGCATGAGTCAAAACCTGCCTTCCTCACCTCAGCTACATTATGTGCTCCATTGGTGAAGTTAAAAACTGCATCACAAAAATTAAGACGCGTTAGATAAAAGATGTAGTTTAAGTATGTTTGACCTAGTTATAAGTACAACATAACAAAGACGTGATGATAGTCTTACGTACCTAGAATGTCTCCAACCATGAAAGTCTTGCCTCTAGCCCATGTTTCGTATGCGATTGGACCACCAGGGGGCACAAGCCAACCAAGGCTATCTCCAACAGTATATGTCATTGGAGGTCTAGAAGGGGATGGTGCAGGCGCAGTTTGTCCCGATGAACTTTGTAACATAGTAGCAACAACTACTAATGTCATAAAGACGACCATATTTGATATTCTTATCATGGTTGCTATCGTGTTCTTGAATCTCAGGTCGCCCCTTTCTTTCTCTGTCAAGATCGGAATCTAAATTCAATCCTATATAAGTTTTGTAACCTCAAGTGGCTGGTGGGAATGGTATGATTAACAATTTCCTTCTATTTATAGAACACAACTACTTACCCTATAATGCCCGTGAGCAAATTTTGATTATTTTTAATCCGCCAAATGGGTGAAACGTGTACAAAAGATTGACTATTTACATAATTTACAGTCAATTTGGACGATTATGAAATAAAGTGGGACCCAGAGGGACTGTATAAACTACCGTGTTTTTTTGGGACTTCCAGAATATTAGGTGAAAAATTAAACGCGTGGACGTTAAATCCACAATCTTTGAATATTCCACGATTGACTTTGTCAACAATTTGGATTTGTTAAAATATTATTGGTGAAATAGAGGAAAGATAGTCAGACGCCCAACCAAATTTCTAGATCTTTTCAAATTAATTTTTTTATTATTTATTAATTTTTAATGTGTAAATTTCATCAAGAGTTCCCACCATTTAAAAGTGTACCCCTCATATCCCTCTCTAGAAATAATGTTGACGTATATGATCACGTAACAGACACGTAATGTTAGAGATGGGTTGAAACATAGAAAAGTCTCATTGAAACGGGTGACTTTCACCCTATAATGCTATTCATCTCCACTGTGATTGAGCCACCGTCTATGTGGGTTTGAACACTTGAATGCTTGCACGTTGTCGAGAGTTCTTGAAAATTGGTGTAAATTTAAATCTAAGATACTACGACGATAAGACAATTTGTGTATTCGACGTATGATGTTAGTGGAATACATGCATATGAAAGCTATTAAAATACAAGATAAATTTTTCTTACATGGAAATAGTTGTTGAGAACTTCATCCGAAAATCTAAGAGTACGTTTGATAGTCAATGTTTTTATGAAAAAATGTGTTTTTTCCACCTAAATTTCTATTTTTGTGCTATTTTATTGACATTTTTTCTATGGAAAACATTTTTCTACTTTTGGTCACGTGACCATATTTTCCTCAAAATTAAGGAAAATATTTTTTTTAGAGAATAAGGATTTTATTTTCCACGAAATTCACTGTCTCTCTCTTATTTAGTCAATTGACTCTTATCTATCACATCGCTCTCATCTACCGACCAATAAAAAATAGACAAATATAATATTTTATATGTTGAAAACTAAATCAATAAAATACATTTAATTAATAATTTCCATACAAATAAGTTTTAGGCAATTGAATTGCCTAGAATTTATTTTTTTTCCACGCAATTTTCATGTTCGCAATCAAACGCACCCTAAATGGTTAGTTTACTACCCCTATTGAATATGGTAATTATTTGTCTAGATTTTTCAAATAATAATTACAATACAATTTTCCCCTTTTATTATGCTGCAATGTCAAAATACCTAATACAACAACATACACCGCTGGAAAAGGCAAATCGAATATTCCCCTTTTTGGAAGAGACCACAATTACAGTCATTGTTCACCGTTAATTCAGCCGTTAATTTTCCATTAAACTATTGAGTTCATGAGTTTCAATTAGGGTCCGTTTGATTGTAAATATGAAAAATGAGTGGAAGAAAATGTTTTACAAGGAATTGATTTGCCTAAAAATTGTAATTAATTGTATTTGATTGGTATAATTTTTTACGGAAAATGTTGAAAGTTTGGCATCCGTTTGGCTTTTTTTTTTTATGAAAATTGTCCATTAAAGTGATAATATTTTCTACTATTGGGTCTAGAATTTGTTCCAATTGTCAAAAAAAATTGAAAAAAAAAATAATCATACCGAATACCATTCGTTTGACTTTGTTTTGTATGGAAATTGTCAATAAAAGTGAAATTTTTTTTACCATTGTGTCTAAAAATTTTTCCAATTGCAAAAAAAAAAAAAAAAACTTGGAAAATATTTACCCACCAAAATATCAAGAATTTATTTTCCTCAAAAATGTGAAAAATTTGAAAAGTTGGAAAATATTTTCACTGAAAAATTTTGCCTATCAAACACTATAAAATTTGGAAAATGAAAATTTCCATGTAAAATGTGTGCTATCAAACGGGGCATTAGAGAATTTGGAAGGTTTTCAAAAAATATTATTAGTTTATCATTCTAAGTGGCCAATTTTTAATCCGTTCAGTCCGATATTCGTGTACGCAGGTTGCGCTTACACACGAGTTTAAAGTCCAATGTACAATTTGATCCGTGATTTGCACTCGCCATGCGTGCACATTGAAAGAGCCACGATACTACAATTACGTACTTCTAAAGTGTAATCATATATAAAATGGTCATGACCTTTATCATTTTTCTACTTGGAATAACTTGAATTAGTTTCTTTGCAACACAACAAAATCTTTTCCAATTCATCACTTTAAACTTTAATTTCTCATTCACCTTATTATCATTTTTGATAAATAAATATATAATTTGGATATTCTCAAAATAAAATACAAATCAACTTTGATTTTTCAAACTGAACGAATGGCCCCATTCAAAATTATGCCAAAAGTAGCCCTATTAAGTCAATTTTCCAACGCAAGTTTCTACTGAAATGATATTTAAAGATTTATTACAAATCAAAGTAGAACAAAATAGTTTATTGTCCACAATCCACATACAATCTCTAATCCTCAATCCACAAACAATGATCCTATCACAATCAACATACAAATGCAAACATCAAGAAGACTCATAATTTACTACATACAAGTAGTCTAAATAGCAATCCCCATGGCGATCGATGCAAATATGACAAATGAAGTGGAAATAGCCCTTGTTGGGGCGGAGTTGGGAGGTGGTGGCGAAGGTGGACTGACATTTCCTGCTGGTGGAGGAGAGGATCCCGGTGATGGTGGTGACGGAGGGGTTGCACCTCCACCAGGCGGTGGAGCCGGTGTTGATTCTGGTGATGGTGAAGGAGGATTCTCCCCAGCCGGTGTAGGCGTTGGTGCTGGCGCGCCTGGAGGAGTGATGTTGGGAGTTGGTGCTGGTGCTGGTGATGCAGGTGGAGTGATTCCGGGAGCTGGTGCTGGCGCTACAGGTGGAGTGATTCCGGGAGCTGGTGCTGGCGCTGCAGGTGGAGTGATTCTGGGAGCTGGTGCTGGTGCTGCAGGTGGAGTGACCGGTGGTGTTGGACTAGGCGTGGGAGTTGAAGCGGCTGAAACATTGATGGCTAACTTTTGTCCGGCGGTACAATGCTGGCCGAATGTGCAGATGAAGTATGCCTCCCCGGGGGAGTCGAGTGTAACATTGGCTGGACCGACTGTTATTAGGGAGATAGGACTGTTCGTGGTGCAACTATCATAAGCTGCTTTTGTTACCTTAGCCACATCATGGATTCCAGTCGGAAAATTGAACACTGCAAATGTTAGTAAATCATCGAATGTTAGAGACAATCAATCCAATGTCCTAACAGACCAAATTCTCAGACCTCAAAAATTCCAATGTCCTAAAACACAACTAACATCATTTTATACACAGGTTCTGCTACCTGAAATCTTGAATTTTGTATCGAGAGTGAACTACGTGATGAGGTCAGGTAAAGTTCCGTTAACGGCAATTCTTGTGCGACGCACCTCTATGTAGCTATAGAGTACATAACCACGACATTTCCAAAAACAGATAAGATTGAAATTCTTTATGAATTTAGTGTAAGAAAGAAGCTGAAATCTTGTTTATTGTACGGTTGAATCCCACGTACCGAAAGATCCATGTAGTGTTGGGAAACGACGCAAACCCAAAAATCTCTTACACACCTAATAAACCAAATTCATCTTGTGTTTGGTTTTTGGTTTCTTGTCTTATGAATGACATAATTAATTACATAAAACTACACAGATAAACATAAATCAACTGTCATGTGTTATAAAATACTGCCTTGCGATCTGAAAAATAATTAAAATTCAAAGAATTAGAACAGACAATTAAAGTTCCTAATGTTAGAACTCTGAAATTTGCTACATAGAAAGAGATCAATAAAGTCAACAATAAAAGGCTTTTACTTTCCCGCAGTTTATCTCAATTTTTCTATGTAATCTGTTGATTCGACGCTGCCATCTATTTATAAAAATTGTGTGCGGTTCACACTTAAATGAAATAAAAAAGTCATAATCTGAATTTGAATAAGCGTGTCGTCACTTTTTTTGTTAACAATTTAAGCTTTTCAACGGGATTTACCTAGAATATCTCCAGTTCTGAAAACATGTTGTGAAGCCCAGGTGGTGTAGGTACTGGCACCCCCAGTAGGGATAGTCCACCCCAAATTGTCTCCAACAATATATGTTGCCGCATCTCCTTTTTCTACCAGTGCACAAACCCCCACCAAAACTGCAAAAACAATCACAAATTTGATGTTTCTGCCCATTTTTTGCAGGCAAAAAGTCGGTGTTTTCAGGTCTCCCCTGGCTCTGCGATGTTCTGTACCTGTGTGTTCTTTTGTGAGATTCCAAGAATTCAACAATCAATAATGCAGACCCAATACAGTATTATTTAAGTATCTTGGGGGAAATTTCCAGACGTTTTTATAGATGAATTCCACGTAGAGAGAGAGAGAGAGAGAGTGGTTTACCAGTTGTTAATGTTGGAGTAGCTAAATTGACTTTTCGCATCACTACGTATTTCAATGTGATGTGTGGAAAAGTCTTGGTCAAGTAAGATGGCATGTGGTGGTGTATGGCTATCCTTAGTTTGTACGAGTCAATGTAATTTGGTCTCTGAGTTTAGAATACCGAATAGATAATTCGATGATAAGATCGCGAAAGGTGAAGATTGATAAAAGGATTGGATATCAATATGACATAATCTTGGTTAGGGAAAATGAAACTGAATTTTTCAAACATTTTACTTTGTATGATTATGAGTTCTTGATCTTTAAAAGTGAGTTTTCGAGTCCCTGATTTATTTAAGTCTAAGTCCTCATGTAACTGAAATCGTCGATATGGGTGTTAAATTCATATGCAATTTGCTCTCTAACTTCAAGACATGTTAAAATTTTAATATCCAGATAAACGATTTTATTCACATAAGAGCTTAAATTTACATAGTTTGAGATGCAAATCTCTGCTTTTGAAAGTTAAGAACTCGTAACCATACAAAGTGGAAAAGTAGTCCAACCTTACTTTAACCCAAATATTTCGTCATAAATATGTATCGTGATGTCGAATTGATTCTTGGGCAGCATGAAGAATATCAAGTTAGAAATAAATGGTCAACGAATAGGTTATACTTGCGGATTCAACGAAATGTGTAGATAAATTACTTACCCACTATTTGGGTCAGATAAAAATTGACAAAAATTTAAATTAACGTCAACAATGAATTTTAATTAATAATTTAATGAGATCCATAATTTTTATTAATTTTTAATCATATATTTCATATACTTTTTTTATTGAAATTTATTTTAAAAAAATTAACTACTCTGCTAAACCAAACGAAGTAGTTATGTGCCGTTCAACAAAATTGGAATCATGTGGAGGAGTTAATGTTATGTGGGGGAGGTTTCAAAGGAAGGCGACATTGGAGTAGATATATGACACCTGTCACAGCCTTGACCACTGCTTTTTGGTTCAATATCTCATATTCTCAATAGAATTATCCCACAAATTATTTAAAAAAAAAATCAGTCAATATATAATATCTTTCTATATAAAAAGTGCCTATCTAACGGAATTTGTTGGTTTAACGGAAAAACTAACGGAATTTCTTGGTTTAACGGAAAAACTAACGGAATTTCTTGTTTTAAACAGGCAGCTGCACCTTCTTTCAATATTTTTATCATAACTTTGTATTCCGATATCCGATTGAGGCGATTCAAAATGCGTTGGAAAGCTAACTCATCTGTCTACAACTTTGATTCAGACATCATTCTCCAATTCGATCTCTTTCTATGCCAAAAATAGGTCTCAATATGAGACTAAAATATCGGAGCATAACTTTTCGGTTGGAAATTGATTTGTGATCATCTTTTGACTAAATTTGATTCCATTGACGTCTTCCTTTATCCAATTGACTCCGAGCACTCTCAAATCTTCATCGTGAG